AAAAAAATATTTAATTATTAGGGAACATTGAATGAAAAAAGTTTAGGAACCGCTGTTCTATATTATACACATTATTAATAGTATAATAAAAATTAAATTAATATTATAAATAACCCTACCGTACATAATTTTATTTGAAAAATTTTTTTTCTTGTTTATTATAAGTCATTAGTCATTACTCAAATTTAAATTTAAATTTTGAATTCGGTTTCGGTCGCATCATAAATTGATTTATGGGTTCTGGTTATAGGTTTTGCTTCCAATACTGGAGTCAACAATTTAAGTTAACAGTGAATAAATGCGGCATAGATCAAACTTTGCATTGGTTATTTATCATCAAAATGTGATGATTTTTTGATATATTATTGAAAATAATGTAAATCATACTATTGCATGGGTTTAAAAAATGTATGATTTGTTATCTTTAAATCTGTTTCAGGTAAAAGGTCGTTGTATGCGAGTATTACATATTAGATATATCATTTTTATTTTGTCTATATAATCATACATAGAATATATAGCTTTTTATTACAAAATTTATAATATTTTATATAAGTAAAATAGTAAGAGTAGATTTCGTTCGTGAAAATGCTTTATTTCATATTTTGTTAGTAAATAAAGAAAAATATACTAATTAAATTAGTTAACGTCATAATTACGATACATGATTTTAGGTTAAATTTTTCATAAAATTAATAAAACATTACATATTTCGTTAAAATAAATGGAGATATTCACTCATTGAGTGTAAAATTGTTCCTAAAATATTTTAAATTACTTCAATTGTAATAAAAAAAAATTTAAAAATATGAACGAATAATAGTAAATTTACAGTACATTTCAGTTCCAATTACCGATTTAATCAACACTATAATTTTCTACCATTTAATAATATTATAAAATATAATATGTATTTATAAATTTTTATTTTTTAATAACCCCACATAAATAGCATAAAAAAATAAATTTCACCTAAATTAGTTTCAGTTATTTAAAACAAAAATAAATATATAATTATAGAACATGATCAAATGTTATATAGTTACATTAATATATATTTCATACGCAGTACAACATTATATTCCTAGTCGATTAAAAACGTATTATTCACTCGAACGTTTTTTTGTTATTTTTCATTTGTAATAACTGATTGAAAACAGCTCTATACATACAAAATAATAAATAAGCTCCAATTTGTGTAATGGATTCAAAATCAGAAACAGAACTTACTTTGGATTTAAAAAGCGTAACCGGTTCCAATATCAATAAATACATAACAATTGAACTCAACGCATCCAGCATCACAATAGGTTTGTAGAGAACGTAATCGGTGATAAGAAACATTACAATCACTAGAGCTGTAGTTGCATATGCATTTATAGGATAAATGTCTTCGGTCACCTAAATTGATCGTAAGTTAAAAATTAATACGAAAAGCTCTTCTACTGCATATTAATTACTACATTTTTAATACTGTATTTTTAATTCACATTAGTGATTCTATAATAATAATAATATTTTCTTGGACCAGTGAGTTAACAGTATGTTATTTAAAATTAATTTACAGGGTAGATATCAAATTTATTTAGTTGTCAACATTAAAAAATAAAAATTTATTAATTGTTACTACTATTGTATACTTTTATTTTCGTAGGTTCTGAACGATGCTCAGTGTAACAAATAAGATTACTGTATATTTTAAACAATTTAATAAAATAAATATACGAAACTCAATAATGTAATAAATAATATTACTTATTTTATAAGAATCGATATCAGCATTACTAGTTTTAACAATATGATTATAGTTTCACACTAACATAGTGAATACTATATAAAAATTGGAAAAATTATCATTTTTGACTAATATCCCATCTTAAATATGAAACAAAACAGATTTTCCATTAATATATAAATTTATCAAATATTTTTTTTTCTATGCTCGTGTTATAGAATACAAAAAAAATGTAAACTAGTGAAATTATTCTAGTTATCCTAACTAGTAAAATTATTAACTTATCAGTTGGGATATTTTAATATAGCTATCCATATTATTCATACTTTGATATATATCATTAAAAAATAAATATTTTGTACAATATTACTTGTAATCAGAACTATATAAAATTTAAAATCCAAATAAATAAATGTATTTCTTAATATTAATTAGAATTTTTGTATACTACAGAAATAAATATTTATAGAAACAACTGAGACTCATGAATTAATATTATTATAATATTAACATTATTAATATCCAAGTATTGTTTTTTTTTTTTTTTTTTTGTTTGTTCCATTTATCAAATTTTGTGCTATAAAACATAATACAAATTACGGTATTGATTGATTTAATGGTTGTATGAAATTTTCTTTAAAAATAAAAATAAAAATACTCACATACCTACTTTTATTTTACACGAGTATTTTATGACATTAATTCAAAATAGATAAATAGTTAAAATAAACTGAGTTATTTAAAAATCTTATTGTAAGTATAAATTATAATTTTAAAAACAAATGGTAAAATATTAATTACTTATAATTATATTAAATAATATCTGAAGTAAAATATTACAGATATTTATACATTCTGGTAAATCAAAATATGAAGCCTTATATTGGCTTTTAACTTTTAAATAATAAGCCAAATATTTATGTTATTAACCTAATAAATCAGCTTTAATTTGTATTATATACCATTACATTTTTTTCATATAATTATATAATTATTTATAAACAAAATATTGAACAATTACTTATTTTTAAAATCTTTTATATGATATTATTTAAATAACTATAATAACGTAAATTAAAATAGTATTTTTAAATTAAGTGATTTAAGTACATCGTTGAAGCCTTCTAATATCATTATAATATGATCAATCAATAAATCACAAAGCTGTAAAAACAAAATAAATCAAATAAATTGGCATTTTTACAAACCGTAACTCACATTATTTTTATATATAATGTATACAAATATGATTAGTATATGCTATGTTTTTTATGATATTATTTACGAGTATTATAAATAAGTATCTATTTCAATAAAATAAAAAAATAAAATAATAAAATTTTATTATTTTTAACCGATTCGTTCAAATACTGTTATACTATTTAATACACATGGAATTTTAAATTTAGAAAAATCGGATGCTAAAGAAGTACTAACAAATTAATATATTTATAAAGTTAATACTGTCAGTTTCAACCACAATCATTCTACGCGCAATTCTATAAAAAATGTATTCAAAATAAAAAAGTATAATACTGAATTTGGTAAAAAAGATCGTTTTAATAAAGGTTAGGTTAGATTATTTTTTGCGTGCAATATGATATTCCTATTAGCCATTTTTATAACTATAATCATTACAAAAAGTATGTAAAAAACAATATAAAAAAATGTTTGTAAATACCTATAATTCATATTTTATAAATTACAATGTATTCCAACTTGTTAAGTTTTATTTGTTTTTATTACTTTTTAGTTATTTTTAATTGATTATAAGGATATACATACTCGTGTTATTATTATTATTATTATTATTATTTTTATTTTATTTAAATAATCTCACATCTTAAACATGAACTGTTGTCTCTTTCACGAGTCTAGATAATCATTTTTCGTTTGTATAATTTATTTAAATTCTAATGTATAACATTTTTTTAAAATTCAATAAATATTATTAAGTATATCGTATTAGGTTTTTTTCTAACTTACTTGCTCGATAGTAAAATTTACAGCTGGACTGGTTAAGTACGATGAGTAAAATGAATCAACAGGACGAAAGTCCCGAAAAATTGCAAATAAACTAACACATATGGTTACTTTAATCCACTCCTTCATTGTCTTTTAGTGGATTTTAATATATGATTTTATCATAGAAAAATAACTTATCTATAAAAAAAAAAAAAACAAATATATAAGAAAAAACTAAATTAATATAATATTAGTAAGACACATTTGCTACAAAAGTAAATTATAGTTTTAAAATAAAATTAGCATTTTAAAAGAATATTATAACCAATGAGAAATTATGTAAAGTGAAATCATAAATCTGTTGATTTGTTTTATCAATATAAACAGTTAATATTTGTTTTATTATTATTTTTATTATTATTAATAATTATATTACTGTGAATTAAATATAAGTAGAAAAATTAATTTTCCGAAACGAAGCTTCAAATGTATTAAATATTCAATTAGCCCACGCACTAATGTACCAAAAACCAACCATTGGTTGTTTCAATTATATTCAAGGAAGAAATATGTTTGAGTTTATAATTGTTTACGTATAAATGTTTACAAATTGTTATGGTAGAGTTTATTAATATAATAGTTTGTACAATGTACGATCACAGTAAATCATAATCAAATAAAGTTCGTTTAAATACCTGATGTTTGCTGGAATTAGGAATAGCGTATTTTTTTTCAATTCACGATCGTATTATATTATTTTCTCAAAATTCAATCGAATTGTATTACTAATATCCACTACCAAAGAAAATCAATTTACAATGAGAAATAAACCTAACGGTTTGTCAATACAATAGTTAGTTATTTTTTTGAAAAAATAAATAAATTATTACTGCCAGTTAAATTTTAAAAAAACAAAATTGTTTTACGTTTTGCCATCGCAGAACGTTAAACGTACATTGTAAACTTGTGACATAGCATCGCCGACTGGCGAGCGCATGGAGTACGGACGGCAATACCACAATCGAAGGTCAGCCGGTTAAATCACTGTCGGTATAGTTAAAAAAAAAAAAAAAAAAAAACCACTATCGAATTTACTGCTGATGACCGACATTCTAGTTTTACAGAAATACGCTTTAAGCGTTGTATACATTGAAATTAATCTAACTGTAAAAAAAAAAAAATCTGAGCCGTCACCAAACGTCTAGTAGATGTGAAACATCGAAACTATTTCGTATAAAATGCAAGCATGAAAGGATGACTTATCGATGGAGATAAAAAAATATAGAATAATTTGAAATGGAATATTTTAATTTTTTTATATAAAATAGATGTTTATATTAATTTAATAACAATATTAAAAAATTATAAATAACGCATCATAGAGGTATACATTTGACTCTGATGTAATTCAGTATACTTAGTAAAATTATAATTTTTATTTTATTATACTTTGAACCTGATATAATCTATATACCAGCGGTTCCCAAACTTTTTTCATTCAATGTTCCCTAATAATTAAATATTTTTTTCAC